TCTTGACATAATATGAGAAACACATGAAGTGCTGTGCTAAGTTTAATATTACATTTGTTTAACTTGCATACATCGTTTAAGATGTGTAATATTAATGACGCCAAAAATAATAACTATTATAATATTATTAACACTTTAAAACGTTGTTGAATTTGAAACAAATTTACTATTGACCTGTCAATGGTATAAAGTATTATTGTTTAACACCTAAAATGTGTGACTATTAATCCAACAGCTGCACTATACTAGCAAAGTCACAAACTGACACACTCATCTATAGTGATATTTATGAGGGTAATGAGTATTGAATAAATGATTTTCACAGTCTGAAAAATTGTTTTTTTTCTCTAATTGCACGACGAAATGATCGAACACAACAGTCAATTTTGTGAATTTCCCAATAATTATTCACGATTAGAATGCGATATTGCAATAAATAATAATATTAAAGGTTTAACACACACTATTATTCAATAACCAATTAGAGGATTCAAAAAATATGTTCGTTTCATAACTCGCATAGAATATATTTTACAAGGTATTACTTTAAACTTTCAAGTACCTCTATATGGGTACATAATTATAATATACAATTTCATCGTCTATAAGATAAATATGCATAACACAAATTATATGAAATTGTACGTTCACATTATATAATATATGTCTTGATTCATAAGGCATCAAGACTCAAGACTCAAGAGTAATAATATATTATTACGATCGGTTAAATTTGTTTTTTTTTTTCAATTTAAGAGCATATTTTACTCTCCGAAATAGGGAAAGTTATTGAATGAATATTTTATAGACCATAAAATAGCCATAAGTCTACCAGTTTCAACTGCTTTTCTTTTTTTTTTTATATTTCTTTTTTTTTATTATTAAGGTTGTTCGAGTTTGTAATATCTCATACATGTTTTTACATCAACAAGAATGTAATCGTTGAACCCTCACTATGATTAAAATCTAAGTAATAATATACTATAGTACCATATACCAGGCCATGTTATACATATATTATCCTACGACGATAAAAATTGTCTGCCAAAATTACTACGTTGTTATAAAAATGATAAGACTGGGATTTTTTTTTCATTTAAGAACCCATTGTCATATGTATTATACACAACAATATTTCGTCTGAGATAGTTTCTTATGTTATATTAAAGCTATGAAATTCCATAACAATATTATATAGTATATATTTAGGTAAATGTTTAATTTGTGTATAAGTAGCATTGCTTAATAGCATTTAATGCTGTGGATTGAATATATTGATAAATGTTTTTTTTAATTGTTATTATTGTTGATATCTTCATAATTGCTCAAACCTCGACCACAACCCATAACTTGTTGGATTATTTTTTAATGAAATCGTAATCTATGGTGGTACGATTTTTACCATTCAAAGATTAAAATAAGACATCGTTGAATTTATACCACAGATGTATTTAAAAAGTATTATTATAATGTTCTGTTTCAACGGGTTAGCTTGATAGAATTTATAATTAATTGTTTTCAGAATTTCTTACCATTTCGTTTGAACACCTTTCACGGTCATTACACTTATCACCAACTCATATGCATATTTTATATTTTGTATGCACCGGAATCTGGTCTACAGTTCGTATTAAGCATTAGATACAAAGAAAAAGGTGTTTATTATTAAATTTATTATTGACAGATAACATTGAATTACCCTATTTTCGCAAGAATTTTGAAATTATTCTTACATCTCCGAGGAATTCGATATTTTTTAGGGTTACGAAATTCAGGACCACCAAAATCTAAGCCAACCACGGAGTGATTACATTATCCTAAAAGGTTTGGTGTCGTAAAAGTATTCCAAGGCGTAGTGGGGAGCATTTTTGTGAAGTGGGCGCATCTGGTGATATATACGTGAATGCGATATCCCGCGTGTCCGTGTGTGGATTCGCGGTATATGTATATACTTGATTCAGGTGTAAACCGAAAACGCTAAGTAATATTTCGAATTATTTAAAAAATATATGAAAAGAGCACCACATGATGAGCTTTAACTCTTGGTCGGTGTATATAACGCATATAGTAATCAGACCGAGTTAATGTTCGTATACAGCTTTAACAGTACAATAACGAATATTAGGTGTATATAATATTATTATGAAATGTTGCTGGTTTGGAGTACATATTTAGGTGGTGTAACTTTTTTTTTCAGTTCACCCTAATTAAAATCAACCCGCTATGAGTATTAACATTCTATTGTACAGCAAGAATTAATTAAAATATAAAACATAAAATGAAAAAATAAAAAACTGTTAAAATAATTTATGTCGTGATATACGCTCACACTGCAGTAGTTGTACATTTGATATTTATTTTAAATGCAACACAACTAGAACTATATTGTTATAGTTAATTATTTTATTTTTATACGAGTCTAATTGTTATTGTGCTGTTCGTATATTTTTACATATTAATATTTGTATCTACCTATAGTTGGCAAGCTTGAATACATTTTATATGCAAAGCTTATTATGTTATTACGTTTAAAATATATTTTACTGGCACTCAGTTGACTTGAAAAATAAATAAAATGAAAATGACTGTGTGTGTGTGTGTGTGTGTTCAAGTTTAGAATTTAAAAAAAATATATTAATGACCATTGGTAATTAAAAGTAATAATAATATTTTTATCGATTACAGTTGTTATTTCTAAACATTATAAATTTCCAGGGAAAAGAATTTTCTAAGAAAATTGTTTAAAATGTTTTTATTTTAAACTAAAGTAACGCAAGCTTTTGAGGTTTTCTTTACTGATTAGAAATTGTTACCACATGTTTATAATGTATATTAACAATTGATTGCTTTTATATCAACTAATTATTTATCAAGAAATACGTTGTTTAACTTAACTAAACTTAAACAACATAAACTTTAAAAACTTAAAATTAATAATACATGATTGTATAAAAGCCAAACAAAGTGTTCATTTGTGTTTACCCTAAAATTTGACTAGGTCGCTTTCAGATTGCGACTCGAGTTTACGCGAGTACAAACATAAACTTTTATTTTACAAATTACGTCGTTGATTGAACACGTTTAAACAAATCGTTAAATAAAAAGTCAAGTCAAGTATAAATTATGGTATTTACAAACTCAACTATAAAATTAAATGTTTTCAAAATGCGTCAAAGAAAATAATTATTGTTTTAACAATTAACGCGGGTGTATACTGGAGTAATTAAACGAGTCAACGATGCCATAAATAAACTCAATTAATAATTTGCACGTGTCGCAGCTTGTGGAAATCTACGGTTTCGATAAATTCGCATCAGGCGTCTGTGTGAAATCGATTTGTGACGACCATCGGTCGTCGGCTGCAGAGCTCTTTCTGGAGCATTCAGTTCAAACTTTGGTGGCACGACTAAAGAATATCTGCCACGCTGGCAGGATTTACAATTTAGCCTTTTATTCTGTAAAATAAATAATTTACACCTTTGGAATATTATAGTCGTTGGTTTCACGTTATTCCTTTCTGGAAAATTCATGACATTTTCGAGAAAAGGCGCAAAACTATAGTGTCGTGAAAAGCGCAATCTACGACGGATCGGAAATTGAACCCAGGTCACGACGCTTTAATTTATTGTCATCTTCAGTATTTCCCTGTGGTTTCGCCATCGCGTTGTAAATAATATAACTGTATCATAACTTAAAGGGCCCTTGGTGGCGTGATGGGGAGAGAGTTTGGGTCAAACGGACATCGTCGTCGTCGTTGTGTATACGAGAGGATTCATCGTCATCGTCGTCGTCGTCGTCGCGTTTACTTATTCAAAACGCAATAACTTTAAGTAGTTCCATGGACCACGTCAAATGGAGAAGGTGCTGGTCTTACCGATGTACGACTGCAAAATTCTGTAAAATTAATCTTCGTCGCCCACAACGAGTGTCTGTGCATTATGTTCCGATTCCGGTGTGCAGGACACCATGATAGCAATCCCGTCCAAACTGCAACAGCAGCTGTCGTCGCCACCACCGCACCCCCGTGCCCCGTGGACCGAAAAATAAATCCGTCTCGTGAATTTAATATCAGTCTCGAGCTCGCGACGAAGGTGCAGGACACTGTGAAAACTCGTACGACATTAATATAATATTATTATCATGCCTTTGCGGTCATACCGTCTGAGAAATAATTACCATTTCAATAAAACCATTCAGCCGACTTGTCAACAGTGGCGTAGCAAGGGTATGGCGAACTGTGCCTACGCCAGGGGCGCAAATTATGAAGGGGCGCCAATTTGTGCTTTAAAATTGGTACTTATTTTTATTCTAACTTCAAAACGACATTTCTGTATTACCTATATGACTATACATTTTGAAATGTGTATGATTTTGTTTATCTTGTTTATCTTGTTTATCGTTAAATTCGTGTTTCAGTACAAGGAACGGTGAGTGTGTGTTTGTGTGTGTGTGTGAACATCGAGCCTATCGTTATCGGATCGCCCGTGGCCCGTCTATAAAATATATTATGATATTATTTGTCGTTTATATATCAATAATCTTATTTTTAAAAGTGACGATAGTGCGTATTACAATGCATGATAGTACGATGCGGGTAATCGTATTGCCTCGTTGGCGTTCATGCTGCCGAAACTTCACCTGCTATGATAACTTTTTTTGGAAGTGTTCAGAAAATATTTGTATTCTTTTCTAGTTCTACTTCAAGATAGAATATGTTAAAAAATGTCATAAATGTTACTTTAAAGAAACATAGTGATACTCGTTGGTCATCAAAGAAACAAGCCATTTCAGCTTTACATACTAATATCATCAGTATTGCTATGATATTGAAACAAATGCGGGACATTACTAATATGAACTATGACACTATTGATGGTTGAAATCAAATTTTACGCCTAATAGATCTAAAATTTCTGTGCTTACTAAATATATGGAATAAAATACTTAAGCATATCGATAAAACCAATAAGTCTTTGCAAACTAAAGATATTACAATTGATATGGCAAGTAAAATGTTAAACGGTTTGTATAATTCTATTCAAGAAATTCGTGATAACAATTTTGAGGATTTATTAAAAAATGCAAAAAATACTGCTATCGAAATGGAACTGTCACCCGAATTTCTAGAAAAACGAAGGCATAAAATAAAACATATGGATGGAGAAGAAGCAATAAATGATGGTGCAACATCCATCCACGCCAAAATCAAAAATGATTTTTACATGGCAGTTGACTCAATCTTATCGAGTTTAAAATGGCGATTTAAAAGAATGACTATTTTATCCAATGACTTTGAATTTTTATGTGGAAGAAAGCTATCGTCAATGGATTTTGATGAAATTAAAAAATGGACTAACGATTTAGCAATCAAATACGACAAGGACCTCAACGGATTCGAGTTTTGCTCTGAAATGGAATGTTTTAAACACCAGGCTTCTGCATTGATGACCGATTTCAAAATGGCTGCACCGATTGATTTATTAAAATTTATTCATAAACAAAACTTACAAGATATTTATCCTAACATAGAAATAGCGTTAAGAATATTTCTCACTATTCCAGTAACAACTGCTAGTTGTGAAAGAAGTTTAAGTAAACTTAAACTAATAAAAAATTACTTAAGATCAACTATTGGACAAGAGAGACTAACAAGCATGGCAATTTTATCCATAGAACATGAATTTGCTAGGCAAATTTCATATGACGAAATCATCGATGAATTCTCTAGCCTTAAAGCAAGAAAAGAAAATTTTTAAAGTTCGAAATTTACATTGTCATAATAACTGATAATTAAATAATGTTGTATTACCTAATTATGTATATAAAAAATAAATGTTAAAAATATTATTCCGTACTTTCTTCAATTTTTTAATCGCTAAAAAGGAGCATTTTCATAGGTTTGCCAGGGGCGCTAACGAGTCTTTCTACGCCACTGCTTGTCAATGATACATGTTGTCGTGTTCTGTGCAGTAGAGTATCACGTGTGTATCGTAGTATCGTATCTATACACACGATAATCAGATGACTATTCTTTTTTAAACTTCATATTATGCATTTCTTTTAAACTATTGTAAATATAAAATATACTTACTAACTCATAAAAAAATATAGTGTCTTTTGAGTCGTTAAGAAGTTTTTAAACTTATATTTAACTTAATAAAACTTATAATAACCGTAACCCACTTATGTCCAACCTTTCTTCCATCACTCTTCCTGACAATCCATCTCACCGGTTTAAGTATAAAATGAACCAGAAACCTTCTAAATAAATAAGCCCGTTTATTCTGGATAGATAAATAAAATCTAAAAAAATCTTCGATCCACTTGGTTGACACATCTTTGTGTTTGTATCTTTACCATAGGTATCGTATTATCTTTAAATAGATTGTCGTAATATCTTATTATTCGTATTAAAACAAAAAAAATTGTTACATTACTGAACATGAGTGAACGAAGAAATCCGGGAAAGAGACCTTCCCGATTGCATTCTAGCCATCTAAATAGTATTTTATTTTAATTTTACCTTTTTTAATTTTTCAATAAATGCCAAATATTTTATAGATGGTCTGTAAATAGGTTTCAGCAATGTCAAGATAAAAAAAAAAAAAAACGATTACCGTATTCAGAACATATCGTGATTCGATTAACGTCACTTGTGCTTTTGACAGTTTAAACAGTTCGAACTTCCCTTTAAGTTTTAATTATATTATATAACACAATAACAGTGTATTTCTAAATCAGTTTCACACAACAAAAGACCCAATAGTGATCAACTCACATTTATTTATTCAACAATTAATAATCAATAACTTGATATGATGACAAAACAATTGAACATTTAATTTACAATATTGTATTTAAATAGATCACATATTAAAATCGTTACCACCAACCTGTCCCTTGTCTGTCAGAAGACTCAAATTCTCTATCTTGTACTAGTTGAAATAACTCAACAGATCCATCATAAATACGTATTTCTGGACCTTGAATTTCATTGTTCAGGTCCTAAATTATAAAAGTGCCCAGTTGGTCGGTTTGAAGATAATTTATTTTCCTAAATTATCACTCTCGCCTATAATACCAACACAAACTGACTCCCAAACATAAATTATACGGATGTTCAAGTATATGGTTTCACGTTTTTTTAATTCCTACCACATACTATTATTATTACAACCGTACTAAAATAACTCTTGCAATAACAAACGTTTGTAAATATCATATTCAGATTCAAGGATCTAGTCTCCGGAATAATATTAAAAATTCAAAAAACATTATAAATACCAGGTAACGGGGCTTTTCCCTAGGAAATGTATAAGCCACGTCATTGTTGAATTTTATTTTAAGTGATCTCTCTTTTTTATCATGAGATATCATTAGCTAATCATGTTGTAATATAATTACATTCAGTAAAATTAGTATAAAAATTATACATACAATCATCTGCACATTTTTGTATTAAAATAAATATAGCAATGTTTGTATCGACAGCACTCTCATTTGATCTGTCGTAACATTTCACTCAAAATTCAAGTATAAAAAAATGTTAATATTTGACTTATTCCTCTTTATATAAAAACAGTTGACTTATTAATTATAACGTCATAAATCGAAATATGCATATAATTTAAAAACGGCGTGTTGTATAGGCAAAATAGGTACATTAATAAATATTAGAACAATATTATTATCTTAACATAAGTGTACGGATGTTGTGAGAAACGTGGAAGTGACTTTTTGGTCATTTTGATATTTTACATCAAAATCTTAGGAAATTTGAATGCCACTGTTAATAACACAAAGTTGCTTGTTATTGTGTTATATGGATGTACGAAATGAGTGAACTCAATTATATGAGAAACGTTTACGACTAAAAATCCTGATTTTTCAGAATAAAAAAACATTTATAATCCTTAATAGTTTTCGTTTCTAATTTATTAAAAAAGTTATTTCTATCTTACTGACATATTTATTTTCGGATTTTTATTAAACTTTATGTCTTAAATTATTTAAAGACTTTTTGAAGTGACTTGACGTCACTGACACAAACAATATCTGGACTAGACCCTTTTCTACAAATGATTTGACATAAACAATTTTTCTTCTAATAATAATCAGCATTTTGAAATAGACACAGTCTTCACAACGTCCATTTTTTATAATTTTTCGTTCGACGCTATTCAGAATTATACTGGGATACTAAATTGATAAACTATATTATACTATTACAGCAAAGATAAAAACTTTTACTCACAATATGCTGTTAGATATAACTCACATTACCTATATTCATGCATATGCTAAATTTTAATTCAGCAACATTATTATATTTCGCCATCCGCTTTTTGTCTCCAAATCAATATAGTTTGCAACTTCATCCTTTGTTTGACATCATCTATCTACTTTTTATCATAATCTTCCTAACCTCACAGTGTTCAATAATATATACCACCCTTCTACATTAATGTCATCTCAACCATGTACGGAATTGTCATTTCTATAGGATTTTTAATTTTTGCAAGTAAATTGTTCTAAAAAAAAAACAATGATCCAAAATTAAATACTTATATTTTTATGTCAGTGTAATAGTTCTATATCTACCTTTTTAATAAAATGTATTCAGAAATGTAATACTTTGGTAACAATGACAAGCAATAGTGAAACAATTGTTATTTTTATTAATTCAATAAAATAATAATAAGGATAACTGTATAAGTATTATTTCATACGATAATATTATTTTTTAGACAAATGATTTACACCATATAAAATAAAACTTGCGCCTTAAATACGAATTAATGATTTTGGCTAGCATTATAAAATATATGAAATAACTAAATTTGTATGGTTACCATAAAACAATAATTTAAAACTAATTCAACTGATGTTCATCAAATATATTTTAATTCGTTAGTTACTTTAAAACATTGTTACATCATTGTAGTTGCACTTCCAATCTATGTATTAATATCAAATTTCATTTTTTTTGATAATATGATTATTAAAAGCTAAAAAACTCAAATTTATTTATGAAAGTAGGTAATCGCTATTATATTATGCTCGTATAATATAATATTATGTGTTATACACTCCATAAACTCTCTTAAAATGCAAATAAAACTGTTACGGCCATCAAGAACGCAATGGAATTATTGAGATTTCCCAACATTGAAATGTTATATCTACCTTATATATTATAATGTTATAAGGTATTTTAAGGCATGAATTATATCTAATTTGACACCCATTTGTCACAATTCATCCGTCCAATCTTGATTGAAATATTGTACTCACCTATGTGATACAACTAACATTGCGAAAATGATCAAACATTATTATTATTGCCATACGCAACTAAACTATATTAATAACGACCTTATACGATTTTCGTGTTTAAGCGCAGTCATTGTTCGCAGTGGAATAGCAAACGGACGTCCGGTTTTGACACACGCAGGTCGTGTTTCAATAGGAAGTGATAAAATGTTAATGCCCACCCGGTCCGCGTTCTCCCTCGGCTGTTCCCCCAAGATTAACATTCATGCCGGTTCGCCGTTTTTTTTCTTTATCCATAAGCGAAAAAGAAAAACGTAAAAATTACATACACTATACATACAGCAGTAGTCCATTCTCGCCAATGTCGCCCTTATTTGGAAAATGGTACGTCACGCATGCAACTTTTCGCGAAAGCACGTCTCGGATGTGCGCGCATTTCGAATATTAAAACGTAAAATGCATCGTTCGTCGCTTGTCGGGGCGGTAAAGAAAGAAAAAACTACTACTACTACTACTACTACTACTACTACTACTACCTCTGGGGCGAGTTTACACTAAATCGAAATGTTTGCCGACGACATGTTGTCATTTATTGGTGGAAAAAATAAATAAATAAACACCGAGATAAAACTAAAAAAATAAAAAAAAAATAAAAAACCGTTTACAGTCGCTTTTTGCGAGACGCGTTCGAAACAGCACACTATAATATAAAGTGCTTTAAGATTAAAACAATTTGAGCACGCCGATGGTTTTGTAAGTCATTTCCAATAAACGAACTTCGCTCATTCGTAAAACGCGTACACTTCCAAGTTTGGTCCTGGCAAAAATCACGTTGTTGCCACGAGTGGAGTTTTAATCGCATCGAACGAGTTAATCCAATTTTTTCTCACACATATTTTACAAGAGAGTCTACATTTTTTTTTTTTTAGTATCTCAGATCGTTTATGACACGTGGTGTAATTAACCATACTAGTAAAGAAAAGCCGTTACGATTAGTTTGGATTTTAATTTGTTATACTCCGATATTTCTATAATATTATAGATATATATTTAGCATACAAAATATCAGACGATTCAATTTTGAGTTGATAATAGATTTTTAACTTTTAACTTCTTACACATCGCTTAGATATATTTAAATAAACAATAGAGATTTCGTTAAAGTGTTTGCAAATCAATCATTTTAACAGTACTATAATATACTTTAAACGTTAAAAAAAATTATTATTAATGTATTCTTATGTCAAAAGTGACGTGAACGGTCCATTACAATAGCGAATTTCTTATAGTTGAAAACAAAATCAATACTTTAATGTTGTCTCATTTTTCTGAAATTCGGCAACATCATCAAACCATTACATTTATAAGTATTTTTAAATTTGTTATTCATCACAAATAAATTTGATAACAAAATAAATTCGGTAAAATCAATTTGAAAATTATATTATGTTTTAAGTAATATTATACATATTTGTAATTTATT